CAGAGAAAGAGACCATATGGAAAACAGTTAATTAATATTGTCAGAGAAAGCATCCATGAAGCAATAAATGTGATAAAATAATCAAAGAAATAAAAGAGAGCTTTTGGAAATTAAAAACACTACAGCTGAAATGGAAAACTCCTTTTAGAAGTTGAAAGATAAAGTTATGGAAATATCTCAGAAAGTAGAAGAAAAAGGCAGAAGTGAGAGAAAACTATTGTAGAAAAATAGAGGGGATAAAATCACCACTACTTCAAGAAAATTTCACAGAATGAAGTGCTCGGCAAAATGAGTGAAAATAATTCCACATTCTATTTCATCATCATGAGCTTTCAGACCACTTAACACTTAGGGAAGATCCTAAGAGGCTTCCACAGAGGAAAACCAAACAACATGCAAAGGGCTGAAAAATCTGAATGGCTTTACTATTCTCAACAATTCTGATATCTAGACAGTAATGGATTGATCAATGGCATCAAATTTGAGGAAAAGTTATTTCTGGATGAGAACTTCCTTTAGTCAAATATCAATCAAATGAGAGGATAGCATAAAAAACATTTTCTTGCTCAAAAAAAATTTAATCCCTTAGCAGTCAAATCTCTTGGGAGAATTAATTAAGAAAAAAGAAGACATGAATTTTAGGGAATAGGAGATCTAACATGAGGGGCTCCAGTGTGAAGCATAAGGAAAGCAGAATCAGACAGGCAGTTGGGATTTCCTGGAGAGATAACTTCAATACATGACAGATTAGTTGATACATATAAATGTCTCGATTCAGATAATGAAATGTCTTTAGACAATTCTCAACTACATTGGTGGAGAGGTTGAGGTTGCCTCACTAGTAAGTACACATAAAGTGAGCAAACAAAGAAAATAATGATTAACTCCAGGAAAAACAAAATTGTGCAGGAAAGTAATGTAATTATTGAACTAACCAAAATCACACACAGAGATAGATTGGTAGATAATATAATATTGACAAGTGGCATGAGTATTCTGATGGTAGTGAAAGAGCTCAGTTCTCACCTTCCATAGTAGAAAGTCAAAGTATAATATTTTATTTAGAAAATAAGGATCTTAATAATCTGATTTAATGATAAGCCAGAAAAATATTAGGTATAGAAGTATATAAATAAGCTATAAGAAATAAGGAGGTAAACAGTAAGAGAATCTGCTGAAGAGACGAGAAAGTAATTGCCTATTGCAAGAAGAAAATAAGAGAGGATGGGTGCAACTACTGCTGTTTTTCATAATAAACCTTTCAAAATGATTTCACTCTTCAAATGTAGCTACACATAACGGATAGAAACAAACAAACAAGCAAACAAACAAACAAACATAAGCAGATGTAACTCTCATGTCACCAATGATTTTATCTTTAACAATTTAATCCTGATGTATTGCAATTTTATATATTACTTCCTGTAAACAATGCATTGTTTTTGCACAGGTTATCAGTGTCTTTTCTAACTGCATTGCCTTCCTCAATGGCATTTGCTTTTGGATATATTAGAAACTTAGTTTTATTAACTTCTCTTGAATCTTTCCATTAACATCAGCAGATTGCTCATTCTCTCCATTTGGCTTTTCAGGAAATAGCTTATCTCTGGTTTGGCTGTGCAGTCTTTCTTAATGAACAACTTCAATTTTTGATATATTTCTCCATTTACAGGGGGCATAGTCATTATTTGTGTTTTGCATCTATACTTGTGTTATTGTCTGGTAGAAATTACTCCTAAATAAATAGAATCAACGGAAGAACTTGAAGACTGCCTAAGATTAAAAGTATGTGAATATGTTAATGACAGAGTAAGCTTTCACAAAGTTGTCCTCAGAACAATCAAAGATAAAATTAAAGATTTCCATATAGAGATGTTCATAGAAGCCTCATTATCGTGGAAAACACTGTAATACTCTTAATGTCTAAATAGAGGGGATTATAGTACATTCATATGATGGAACTGTGTGTACTATTAGGCAGCATATTAAGAAGAATCCTTTTGGTATGGAAATATATTTCTAGTATGTGGCTAAGTGAAATAAGTAGATCAGTACACCAAAAGACCTATGTATTTAGCATGTAATCTTTACAAAAAAGTTATCTATCTATGTAAATATCAAAGAAAGACATATTAAAATTCTTGAAGTGGTCATTGCTGGTAAATGAGATCCTAAGTAAGCTTTACTTTATTGTGCTGTTTTCCAAGCTTTCTGCATAAAGTATGAATACATTTTGTAAATAGGCGAGAGTAATGTTTTAAAAAATAAAAATCAAACAAAACATATGGCCTGACTTATTTTTCTTACCAGTGAGAAGAATTAGCTTTGCTGAAATTGAGAGTATTGTAGGGAAGAGAGTAGAAATCATTTTGATAGATGCTATCTTTTCCATGGTTCTGGGTTTGGAAAGCTTAACATGTTATTTGTTCTGGCTGTGAGACTAGACTTGTTTCTTATCTTACCCTGGATTCTTCAAATTACTGCCATTTTAAATAAGTTTGTAACAGCATGGACACTCAGACCATTCTAAGGTATCAGATTTAATAGATTTGCTATTTGACCTAAATCAAAGGCTTTCTAATTGGACAGGTAGGTAACCTGCCAGTTCGTAGGCAATTAGAAGATTAGACTCCCTATATGTTTTTCCCTACCTGCTTAGACAAGAGGCTTTTTGTTAGCATGCAAATCTTTAATGCCACACTTGAAACAGCAATTACAAGGATACTAAAATTTAGTAAAATGCTCACACCAGCCCACAGAGGGGAGGGTACAGAAATGGCATCTGTAATAGCAGTAGAAACGGTGCCAGTGCAAGTGAACTTGAAATGACAGCTCACTAATGGCTTACAAGATGCCCATGAGCTGGATTTGTTGGAGAATGGTCCAGGGTAGCAGGCAGGGGACTGGGATGGTTGCTTGCATTGTTTCCCCTGGTCTTCAATTTTAAACAATAGCTCTATGAGGGAGAGGATGGTAGCTGGATTTTAGAACTAAGCTATCTGAGCTCTTGGAAAAAAATTTCTTTGAAACACAAAGTAATGTTTGTCCATGCCATGACAAGCATTGATAGAGACTCATGTGGAGTGACTTAAAACTCGTTGAGAACTGACTCCATCTTATGGGACAGTGGTTATAGCTGAAAGTTTAAAACACTTGTCACAATGATTTTTCACTTAAAATCTAATTGAAAAGAGTTGTGTCTGTGGGTTCCTGAGAGAGGCACTCAGCAACTAACAGGCTGTCCAGAGCATACATTAGGAAGAATGTGTAAAGGTTGTTCCAGCAAATGAATCAATCAACCAAGCCACCAGACAAACACCAGTAAGTATTTACATTGTATAGCTACCAAGAGGATAAGTGCTTTCAAAGGGTGGTGAATGAAAGAGAAATCTTAGTACTGGTGAACCACTCAAAGTACATTGAAAGTAAATGCTGAGTTCCTGGGAAATTTGTAGATATTCATGAAGGATTAGATTTACCTGACTCTTCTAATACTCAATTACAACCTCTTTAGCATTATACAGGATTCTTCTCCTTCTTTATTCACATGAAAAACATGATCTACTGTTTTATATGAATGTTTTCTGCTATCCAGATTCTGGATCCCTGATCTTGTGCCTGAAGTCTTTGAATGGACATCACAAGATTCAAGAATTCTCTGGAAATTCAATGTCAAACTGTGTATATAATCCTCAAAGAGGCACTTAACTAAAAAAAAAAAAGAAACAAAAACACAACAAAAAACAGTTGAAGAGCCATTGGTCTATCTGGGTGCTACATTTGGTGAGGGGAAGAATCTCATCTTTAATTTGCTTTGTATTATTAAGAAAACATCCATTTGTTGAAAACTTACCCAGTACCATAGTTAATGCTTCAATATATATTCTCTCATTTAATCCCTACTCAGTCTAGGGAGAGTTTATAATATCATCTGCATTTTGTCTTGGAGGTACCATATTCACAGTGGTGAAACAATTCACCCAGGATCTTATCACTAATAAATGCAAAAGTTGTGTTGTGGTTGGGACTCCTTCTCCCCTGGAATTTAAAGCCTGGTCTTCCCCAGAATGTAATTCAGAGGGCCAGGAATGACACAAAGGTCTCTATATCATCAGTGATCAAAATTCATTGATTGCATGATTGGCAGTACATGACAGTGGGTATAGAATGTGGGTGATGAAAATATTCCCATAAAAAGATTCAATCTCTGTAGGCTTAATGAAAACTTCAAATCCTAAAGAGTCTCCACCACCCAACTCTGCTCTTTCTCATATTCAAAGGATCTTTAAAAGAAGTGTAATTTTAAAACGCAACTTGACATATCATTTAGCCATAAAAAAGAAAAGAAATTCTGATACATGCTACAATCTGGATGAACCTTGAGGACATTAATTAAACAAAGTGGAATAAGCCAGGCACAGAAAGACAAATATTTTATGATTCCACTTATCTGAGGTAATTAGAGCAATGAAATTCATAGACAGAAAGTAGAATGGTGGTTGTCAGGGGCTGGAGGACAGAGGAGAATGGGGAACTACTGTTTAATGGGTATAGAATTTTAGTTGAGCAAGATGAAAAGAGTTCTGAGGATTGGTTGCACAGCAATGGAAAATATTAATGAACTATACACTTAAAATGGTTAAGATGGTAAATTATATATCTATTTTACCACAATTAAAAATAAAAATAGAAAATTAAAATACATAAAGAGAGTTCACTTGCAGTAAAGTTCTGTAGACTCATGGCACTGTTTCTGTCCATCCACAACTCTCAGAAACTGCCTGAGAAGACTGGGATTGATTTTCAGGGCCTCCATGAAGGAGTCCAGGTATAAGCTGTCAGGTTGACACTCTGCCCCACAAGTCAGCTTCCGCTTGTTTTTGTCTTCAAGTTTGCAATTCACTTGAGCAGAATAAAAAACTATTGATAATGAATTCCTCTATCACATTCTATTAACCACCCCACCTTTTTCTCTCACACTTACAAAGCAAAACACTTACAAAATAAAAGCAGTGACTTTTGCAGCCATGTGTACAATGCCCAGGCTCCAAGAACAGCCACCAAGAAGGAATCCTGCCAGGTCCCTTCACTTCCAACACCAATAGTGGTTGCTCCTGGAACCCAGGAAGTCTCTCCAGAAGTCATCCAACCTACTGGCAAACCAAGGCCCTTGGGAACCCTCAACTCAGAGTAGAGCAGAGTCATCAAAATTAATTGCTGATTCTCAGAATTTAAAGCCCAAGGTTACAAGGGCCCAGGTGCAGATCCACCGTGAGTGAATTCACAGTGGCTCTTGGGCAGCCTGGGAGCTTGGACACATCACAGCGGTGAGCTGGTGGTACTCCAACACAAACAGATTTGTAGCAGTGGCACTGGCATCCAGGACTGCCAGAGCAGCATTTGTGTCTGACAAATGAGGCCTCTGTCAGGACAAAGGGGGCTCTTAGGACTCATTCTACTTTGGCTGCTTTACACCCAGTAAGAGCCAGGGGACTTCTGTCAGAATAGGGAAAACAAAAGTGATTCATTTCATCATGTACCCTCCCCAAAGTCTTTGTGGTCAGCCAATGCAGGCAGGCTTTGTGGCAAGCAATCCTCACAGACACTACTTACTGAGTGCCTACTATGAAGCTAGAATACCCAGAGGCTATTCTAGATACTGGGCACATGTTGTCTAATTTAATCCTTGCAACAGTGCTGTGATGTAGGGATCATTCCCACTGTAGTAATGTGGAAACCAAGACAGGAGACGTGAAGGTCGCACAGCTAGGGAATGGTGGCAGAACCAGAATTCATATTGAGGCTTGGCTCAGTCCCAGCTGACTGCTGTTGCCCACACATACTTGCTACAAAAGCCTGACCAGCCAAAGGTAGTTCTGTCCTCTGACTTACCATCTCTAGGGGTGTTGATCTGGAAGGCCTAGAATATTCCTAATGTCCAATGAATACTTATGTCAAATGAAACAAAAACAAAAAAATAAGAGGGGATTGAAATTTAACAGATTTTTCTTCTAAAAGCCACAGAAAATGTCTCTACTTTAATGTAAATATGTTTCTATAGGTTATAAAAAAACTTAGGACAAAAAGAAATATAGGTCAAAGTTTCTATCAGTAATTGAGACATAAGCTTTGTTTTTCACATATTGATTCCATAAGGGTCAGAAGCTCCAGTTGAAATATATTCCTCCTAGTTTTCACTGCTGATTAGTTCCAGTACCTGATAACAAACTTCAGATGTACTAATGTTCAGTCACCTTTCTATTCCAGTTACACTAATTCAGCATTTGTGGCCCTGCCTAAAAAAAGGCCCAGGGCAGCTGACCTCTCTCTCCTTTATCATTTCACTATGGGCCTGGAAAACCAGACGGCCATTCAGCACAGCTTGTCAGCATATTATAATGCCCAATGAGAAACTCTGGTACAATGTGTATGAATCCAGAATTCCCCTCCATGAGCCAGGTTTAATTCTCTGTTGTGGCCCATTCATGCCAGATGGGATGCACTGCTAATTTATCAGTTTGTTGACTTCTATACACAGACGTTTCCCATTTACCAACCACTTGTCTTGCGTTTTCAGCAGAATCCAAGCACTGGCTCAAGGTATTTGGATGTCTCAAGTTGAAATTCTAGTTCTTTATAGGATGGTGATAGGTAATTATGGCTCAGTTCTCAGTTCCTGGGTATAACTGGGGAGCAATATCATAAACCAGAGGCTGAAGAATAAAAAATTTTAAAAAGGAATGGAAGGAAAGGAGAGCTGGGAAGAGAATGGACAGTGGAATTACCTTAAAGCTGAAGCAAAGTCTGCTCCCTAACCTTCATTCCATTTGTTTTCCAGTAAATTTTTAGTGAGTCACTACTATTTGCCAAGGTGTTAGATACTGGACATACAGTAGCATTTCTGTCAGGGTCCTAGCATAAAAGCAAAGGTATACTTCAGAGTTAATGAAGAAACTATATGCAAAGGTATAGGCAGAGCTAAAGGTTCTAGTAGAAGATAAAGGGTGATCCCAGGAGAGCAACACCAAAAAGCTACTACCACTGCTAGGCCCAGAGAAGCAAGGGAAAGCAACTAAAGGAAGCAGGCCAAGAATGCAGCTGTGGGAGTGGGGCTTCCAGATAGCAATTCTGCCTTTGATAGAGGAATGCAGTTACTGCCATATGTTGAGCCAGTGTTAAGGAATCTGCGGCAATAAATATCTCAAATGTTACAAACCCAAATGGAAGCCAGAAGGCAAGAGTCAAAGAAGGAGCTCTTAGAGTTCTAAGAACTGGGGTGTAAAACAGGCAGAGAAAGGTGGAGAATGGATCTGGTTGGGGTGGGGGTGGGGAGCAAGCAGAGAATATCCAGCATTACGTATGAAAGAGATCAAGATGTTCAGGATCAAGAGCTACCTATAGGAACCTGGGTCCAAGCCTATCAATACATCAAGTCAAGGGCACCTTGGTTTGAACAACAAAATTTCTATAGCTCAAGAGCTCTTCTCTGAAGTCCTTATTACAGTATACCCCACCCACAACTGAGCCTCTATGTCCTTCATCTGACCCTCCCTGAGTCTGAGGGAATCTGCCTCTGCCCTTTGGCCTTGGCTGTAACTGACGAGTTCTGCATCAGTTAGAACGCAGGCCGATGTCACATTCCCTGAAGTTCTCTATAATCACCGTATCCTAGACAGGGTAAGCAAGACAATAGAGGGAAATTCTTTTCACAAATAAAATAGCAACTATTTTCAAGCCAGCATGGGGATTTACTATAGACAATGAAAAACTACCTTCAAAATATGTTCCTTTATTCATTACTGCAGATCTCCAAAAGATTCTCTCCCAAGCAGTGCTTTGTTGGCATACTTTCTATGTTATGTATACTTTCAAGTCATAAAATTGCAACTTTGAAGATTTCATGTAAATCCTAGGAATTTTTTTTTCAGTTTCTTTCTGACATTGTCTATAATTTGTCTAGTTAGTATAGGTCACCTTGACTCTATAAGATGGGGAAGTGTAAGGAGACTAGTGTAAGGAGGTTGAACCTTATAAAGTGAATACCCTGCCTCTCACTTTTTTGAAACTATGAGGGTCTCCTTTGGGAAATGTAGATGTGAGGAAAGTCAGAAGACAGGAGGGTTTGGAATGTTGAGTTATGTGCTATTTAATGAAATGGAGGCAGAATGAAACACTGGAAAGAGCACTGGCTTTGGTGTTGGACATGGGCTTGAATCTCACCTCCATCATTTACCTTGGGCAAGTATTGAACAGAGCTTTAGCTTCATTTTCTCATTTCTAAAATGGGGATAGTATTAGTTACCTCCTAGGGCTGTGTGAGGATTAAATGGGATGAGGAATGTAAAGCATCTAATACACAGTCTGGTGCCCTCAACACCTGTCACTTTTTCTTTTCCCAAAGTCTGGGAATAGGGTCCTGGGAGAGTGTTAGTAATATGTAGGGGCCCCCAGTTGGGAAATATGACTAGGGGGTTATATTAGTTTCCTGGGCTTCTGTAATGAAGTACCACAGATTAGGCAGCTTAAGCATGGTTTTGGAAGCTGGAAGTCCAAACTCAAGAAGTCTGCAGTATTCACTTTATAAGGTTCAACCTCCTTACACTAGTATACATGGTTCCTTCTGATAGCCATGAGGGAGAATCTGTTCCTTGCCTCTCTTCTAGTTTCTGGTGGCCTCAGGGCACTATGGGAACTGGTGGAGAGATCTATGCAAGGCTGTTGCCTGTTATGATGTTGGGCCTGAAACCTCCACAGGGTGGAGGCTGACAGTCAAGAAGCAAAGCTCTATAGAAAACAGGAAAGGGCAAGAGCAAATGGGAACCCAGGAGGAAAAACTGAAACCCTCAAGAACAAACTAGACCCCCATCTGTCTTTCACCACTTCCAGTCTCAACATAGGTGGCCTATGGGAGAGTTGATGCCCTTGCTCCAGAGCTGCACATACACCTGGTTCTGTACTCAGAGAAGCTGAAAGGTGATGATCTGTCAGGAGCTGGAGAAACTGCAAGCCAGTAGTCAGAAGATCCCCAGAGACATGTGTGAGCTGACTCAATTGTGCCTCTTCCAACCTTCAGAGAATAAATAATGACTGCTTCTCTACTCCTGCCTTCCAACTATCTAAGTGAACTTCTCTCGTGAGCAACCCTAACCTGAAATCCTTCAGGAAAGGACCTTGGGGAAATGTTGGTCTAGGTTAACTATAACAAACCCATCACAGGCTTCAACTATAGAGTTATAACTGTTCTGTAGGTAGTGGAAACACAGAAGGTTTTGATAGAGGCATCTATTTGATACAATTGATATTTTGAGGAAAATTAATCTTATATTGTATATTATGGGTTGGAGGAAGATAACAATGGGAACAGTATAGTTTATGGTTTATCGTAGTGGTCTGAGTAAAGATTATAGAGGCCTAAATCAGAGCTGCAGAAGGAAAATGGAAATTAAGTTGTAGGCCCTAGAAACATTATGACGGAAGAATTGATGGACTTTGCTGAGAAGCTGTGTTAAGGGTTGAGAGCATGAAGACAGAATCCAGAATGCTTCCGAGGTATTGAGCCTGAGGAGAATGGTGGTCCTTGAAAGGAAATTATTTGTTCAAAAGCTATTCTACTCTAATAGACTAGCCATTTTACTCTATTGAAATGCATAACAATATTCCAAGAATTATAAGAGTTTGGAATACTTAAACAGTTTAAAATTGCAGGACAGCAAAGAGGTAAATGATCATCTTAGAGTATTGAAAAAAGGGAAGGAGAAAATTCCACTGAGTTGTTAGTGAACTTGGTTGCCAAGGACTTTTGTCTGGTAAAAGGTGTTTAAGTCCAGAGGTTTCCTGCAGAAAGCTGGCCTTTTCTGCCTGTTTTATGATGGACTTTAAAGGTAAAGGGATAAAGAAATAGTCATGGAATGTTTATTTCTTAACCTTAGAATATAAATTCTTAATCTGAGCTTCTTAAACTCCTTTGAGTTTCAGGGAACTTGCCAAGTTTCTAAAGTTTTTAATAAAATTTTTGGTGTTTTGTGAAGATGTTAATTTTTCTGGTGGAGAGACTACAGTTTGCTCAGATTTTCAAAGGGATCTGATTCCTAAAGAGGTGAAGAATTTCTCCCATGGAGAGAGATCACTGAGCGTAGTTACTGGCCCCAGCCACACTCAGCTTATTCATGTCCAAGTGCTGATACAAGACCTGAGACAAGAGGTGATGGGAAACAGTCTTCAGATAGAGCAAGGAGTCAGCTTCTGACAGTTTCTTCTTTTTCTTTACT